GGGGGCGCTTGTGCGTAATGAAGAATCTAGTATTTCATTCTTTTTTGTGATCATGCTTAGTTTGAAAATTTCGTTTAGCATACTAACTTATACTTATAGGTGGCTAAAAATCTGGCATAGCGTAAAAAGAAAAATACAAACAAATGGGGCTGTGACACTTTGGTTGGGGGATGTTTAAAGACTCTCTAGAAGTAAAATTAAAAGAAAAGATATGACTTATAATCCAGAATTAGTTAACTATAACTGCCTGTATTTAATTATTAAAGAATACACGTAAGTTTACATGATAAAAAAATTTTAAAATACGAAATGCGCTAAGAAATAATATACGCACCTGAACTGCACTTTAACCGAAAAATAAAATAATTCACGTTTGCTAAAATTTGGAAGAAAAATTTAAAAATGTATGAAAAAATTGTCGGAAATGGATCCCTATGCCTAACCCTAAATCTATCCCTATGTCTAAACCTAAATCGATCCCTATGCCATGCCTAACCCTAACTCGATCCCTATGCCTAACAATAAAATCTATCCCTAAGCATAACTTATTTTTTTTTTACTTTTTAATTTACTTAAAATAACGTATTAATTACCCAGTCCGCATCTTCCTAGTGGAATCGCTTTCAATTGAATGGGTGACGGTTTTTGAAAGCCAGCCGCAGAAAGGCCTTGCAATACAAGCTTGGAAAGAAGGAGACCAGAGAAGTCAACAGTTTCGGATATGAGAACGTCTTCTGTCCGCTTCTTATCCTTAAATTTGTGTGCCAGAGACATGTTTATTTTTTGAGATTCTGGAATCTGGATCTTTCCTAATTTGAGGTGCGAATGCTTCGTGTATGGATGATTACAGAGCAAATCAAGCAGGGACGGTATGGTAACACTATTTAACAAGAAAAGTAAAGGTTGAAAAAAAACTAAACACAAAAATATTCTAAATAAAATTAAGTTTCAATGTAGATATTACTATTACAGAACAAATTCATAAATCGCGTTTCTATGCTATTGTTTCATTTTCATATTGTAAAATAAATTCATCCATCTAGGGTGAGTAAGACAAAAGGCTTAGGCATATTAACTAAACTATTTTTTATACATTTATTTTTATAAAAAATTAATACATTTCTCACAAATATTGAGTATAAATTTTTGAACAATTTTATTCTCGAACAGACATTCTTTTCTCAGATGCGTCTATCTCTGACAAGTTTTTATTTTAAAAAATCATGTATGTTGCTGGAATTTAAAATAACACGAAGCCCTATTAAGCCTATTATAATATAAAATAATGATTTCTGATAGTCACAATTAGACTTATATCATATATAAGTGTTGATTTGAAATTTAAAAAAAAATTATGGTGTATTAAATATGGTTAGAAATCTTAAGCTATTTAATAGAGTTTAATGCATTGCGCAGATAATAATAATATACTTCAGCTTTATTTTTATTCTATATATATTTAATAGAACAAATAATGACTGGAGGCAATTAATTTATTTTCTGTGTTAAAAAAATTCAATGTTCCTGTAACACTGTATAAAAATAAAATAAAATTGACTACAAATAGTTTAAATGACTTCATGCTGATCAGTGATCATGACAATTTTCCGTTCTGATTCAATTTTGATTGTTTAAATATATGTCTCACACTCTCACAGTTTGGTAATTAGGCTTCAATTAAAATTGTATAAAGCAATATCTTTTGTTTTTTATTAGCGTGTAAATTATATATATTTTATTGTATACAATTTAAGTATTTTATTTTAACCTTAATGTAAATTATGTGATAACCAAATTTAAAAAAAGGGCCATATGTCATTCTATCTCGGTAAAAAATGACACAAGCATCTTCATATTGGTACATTTACTTACTAACTGTTTACAGTACAGTACAGACAGTGACACACCAACCCAACAACAATAATTATGAACAAATATTAATATCAGAAATGGAAATGAAGTCTAATGAGGAAAAAGTGATAGAATATGAAACATTCTTAAACGATCGCTTAAAAAATGACCTGAGGTACGCTAATGATGCTTATGACACTTATGTCGTCATGTCATGTCATAACAGTACAGTAGATACTTTGATAACAAAATTAAAACTTAAAAAAAAAATAAACCAATGACATAGTTGAATAGAGCTAATTTTTAAAAGAATTATAACACCAAAATCATATTTTTAGCTGTTGTAGTTTTAAAGTTATGAATTTTTAAAGTACGACTTTATTTGTCCTTTTTTAACATGGACCGCATCTCCACATTCTGTGACCCAATTCCGCTGTTCGCGTCACGAGCTATATAACTCTTGTTTTAATGATAATTTTATTTTCAGAACTAATGCTGTATTAAAAAAATAAGTTTAATAATGTTAACAATTATAGATAAATTTTAGCTTATCTAACTATGCATTATTTCTATCAGTAAATTTAATATAATGTATTAATATATGGCTTTTCTGTTTACCAAATCTACGACGTTCATTATACCAATATTTGCTATATAGTCTATATAAGGCAACTCATGCCCTAATTACGAAAATACTGTTTGGGAACTATTGAACTTTCAACTTTGTTACATGACTAATTAATTAAAGCTTTCCCTGACCTAGTTGAATAGTTTTTGCACACGGCAAACTTTTATGAATGAAATCTCTGAGATAGTAGTAAATAATAGCCCTTATGCAAGTCACTGTGAATGGCTGCCATGACATTTTGCACACGGCGAATTTTGATCATGTATAATATGGACTCTACCGGGTTTTTTAACCTCAAATTAAAATATTATTCTTTCAATAACATTTAAATTCATTCTAAAACATAAGTTATCAAATATTTTGATGTAAATAGTGGAAATAATTAAATATTTCCTAAGTAACGGCGTCTTCCGCCACTGAAAGGGGGCGTGGCCACTTCCTTATCGAAATTGGGCTGAGCTACATTACCATATAGGGGTTCACTCAAGTGAGCATAACAAGTGATCGACATGTCCTAACTCAATGAGAATTGACACAAATACACATCGATAGATAATACAGAATAAGACTTTTTTTTAAAGACATAAAAGTTGAACTTCTATACGAATTTTATAGTGAAAGATGCCTTATATTTACAGGGGAATCTCAAAATACAGGTCGATTGAAAATTTTAAAAAAATCGATGTAAATGTAGGCCAACATGTCTACCTAATTATAAGGCCGGAAACGGAACTCAAATATATATCGAAAGCACTCATTTAATAATAAATAGACACACACATCGGAAAATTAAAAACTCGGATTTTTCGGCGCCGATTGCCATTTCCGATACACAAAAAGTAGTAGCCTCCCTTGGTTTACCGAAGTATCTACAGTACAGTACAGAGATTGCTGTGTAATCTTGAACAAGCTTTCGTTTTAGTCTTAGCTTAGACTTTAGATTAATTAGACACGAACAATGTGTGTCTATATAACAATGTAATTTAAACTTAAATAATAATTTTACAGAATACAAAAGTATACTTAAGTCTTAGACTTAGATAATTAGACTTTATAATAAAAACCACCATAAAGTATGAGCGAAACTCATTTCTGACAGTAGGTACTTTGACACACATTTTAAATATTGTCCAATAGCCACAAATGATACACCATTTTAAAGGGCTCGCTATAAGTAGATACTTCGATGAAACAAGGGAGACTACTATTTTTTTTGTATCGGAAATGGGCGTCGGCGCCGAAAAATCCGAGTTTTTAATTTTCCGATGTGTGTGTCTATTTATTATTAAATTAGTTCTTTCCAGTATATAAACTCAAGGCTTTCCGGCCTTATAATTTGGAAGACATCTTGGCCTACATTTCTAGCCAGCTATTTTGCTTTTTTCAATCGACCTTTATTTTGAAAATCTTTGGTATATATAAGGCATCTTCGCATACAAAATTTTTTGTGAAATAATAAGATAAGGTCCTTTTTGATTAAATCTGTATGAGCATTAGATATTGATCTATATATGTGCCATGTTTCATTGATGTAGGTTGTGTCCCACGTTCGTTACGCTTCTCCCAGTGACCCATATCACCATAAGGTGGCTCAGCCTAATTTTGACATGGCGTAGGCCACGCCCCCTTTTTAATGGCGGAAGTTGCCGATACTTAGGAAATATTTAATTATTACCACTATATACATCAAAATATTTTATATTTTGTGTTTCAGAATGCATTTTGAAGACATTTAAACTGGAAATGTTTTAATTTGAGCTTTAAAAACCCTGCAGAGTCCATATTATAAATGATCAGAATTTTCCCTGTGCAACACGTTGTCATTGGCAACCATTCACAGCCACTTGCATAACGGCTACGTCGTAGTACTATCTCAGAGTTTCATTCATAAGAGTTTGCCGTGTGCAAAAGCTATTAAACCATTGGTCAGGGAAAGCTTTTATTAATTATTCATGTGCCAAAGTTGAAAGTTTAAAATAAGTCGACCCTAAACAGTATTTTAGCGATAGGGAATGCGTTGCCTTATATAAACTATATAGGCATTGCGCATGACGCGATCAGTGGAATGAGGTCACAGAATGTGGAGATGCAGTCCATGTTAAAAAATGACAAACCAAGTCGTACTTTAAAAATTCATAACTTTAAAACTACAACAGCTAAAAATATGATTTTGGTGTTATAATTCTGTTTAAAATTAGCTCTATTCATCTAATTACAAGCATACCCTTATCGGAGTATGTCATTAAATATTAAAAGGTAATGGGGATCTTCTGCCTGCCATTTTCCGGGTAGAATGCCCTACAGTGACTTCTTTGTCTTGTTGATGAAACCCACACATTTTTCCTTCATAAACTTTGTCGCCGCCATCTGCATCCAAACGTTCCGCCTTATTGGATATGGACCATGGAAGGAATTCCAAAGTTTGCAACAGAAATGTAAAATTTTCTCTTGCACCCAAAAGAAGCCTAACATTAAATACTAATCATTATTCTGAATCTATACAATTTTTTTGTTTCTTTTTAATATTATTCAAGTGATGTTTTTATGAAATTTATTTCCTTTTTTTTTGTTTTGTTTATTTAATTACAAATATATTATTGTTGATATAAATGTTAACATTTTCTTATGCCTCTGTCCTAGTTTGATATAATTACTATGATGATGTAGAGTCTTATTTATTTATTTATTTTAATAAACTTGATATAGACTAATACATAGGTTATCTAATTTTAATTTTAAACAAGTCACAGTGACGCAATTTTCACAAAAAATATATCATATGTACGAAAAAAAAATAATTTTATAATGCATTACCATATTTTATTGGAATTACAATTGATAATAGTATATTTTTAATAGTGGTAGCAACTGCTTTTATTTTGTTATTATCATTAATTATAATTTATAAATACCACTAATAACTAGCATTATATATAAATGAAAATATCTTTAAGTTAAATTGGTAATAACAACCATTTCCGACAACCCACTTTTTTTTGTGAGGGGGGATGACTCGGGTGACTACTAACAATTTTATTTTCTTACACCTTCCAGTTGGATCGGCATAACTTTTGTGCGTTTGGGCTAATTTTAATGAAGTAAAGTTATTAAACTGTGTGAATGAATGAAGCAGTATTGAGCTAAACCACTATGTGTTTGAGTTTTACATTAAAAAGTAATAAGCAATTAACGTGCATACCGATGAAAAATTAAATGCGTTACCGGTCACAAGATTCTAAATGCTGCAAATATGGTATTCACATGTTTGGAAAAATATGTGCTCTACGTCACCGATAATTTAAATACTATTATTAGGAAACAGTGACGTACAACGCAAAAAAACGACACCCTCGCTATGCCGTATAGCTATATTGCAGCTCAAGTTTTTCCGTGATTTTTCGACTGCGCAGAAGGGATGCGCGTGCGTCTTTTAAAATACCTATGATACAAATTTCCTTGCTCCAGTCTTTTGTAAAGTCTTACACAGCAAAAAGGCACATCAATGAAGTGTCTTTATCTAGGATTAGGATGAACAACATAGAAATAGAGCATTATATTTCTGGTATTGTAATGTTTCGTTGCTGCATCCATGAACTGGCATTTTTGCAACGGTTGGGGATATGATGTTGCTATTCTAACAGCCCCTAGCTGATGCCAGGGCAGCCTTGAAGCTTTCAATCGATGTCGAGTTCACAGTGGCATCGTTCAGGTGGTTCCATGCTATTATTGTGCGTGGGATGAAAGATTGTTGATACTGCACTGTGTTGCACTGAGGCACTTTGAAGCATTTGCTATTGTTTCTGGTGTAATTGTTTATGGGAATGTTAGTGGTGAAAGTGAAGTCAGTGTTCAGTGAGCGTTTTGCTCTGATCAGTCTACCTGGCTTCTGTGGGGTTAGGTACGTGCCTGAAGGGATGGCCGGCACCAGTCCCATGATCACTTTATATAAGAATATCAGGCGGCATCCCTCTCATCTGTCTTTAAGGGGTGGGATGTCAAATCTTTTTAAGAGGCCAGTGACGAAGCCAGGAGTGGTGGATTTGTAGTCTCGAGCGATAAAACGCACTGCCTTACATTGAATTCGCTACATCATGTCCATGTCTTGTTTAAAATGAAGTGGCGATTCAGACCCAGCTACCAGAAGTGAGAAGATCGGATTAAAAAAATGTTTAAAATATTAAATGGATCTGGACATGCATCGCCGCTATTCGGACCCGTGTTCCTTTAGACTAAATGCTATTCGGATGTCATTTGTGGTAGTTTATTTTAGTTAAACTGAAGAATTAAGTTTATAAAAATATAGTCCATTCAATTATCTTTCATATTTGATACCAAAATTTTGCATTACAAACCTTACAATAATATTTTTTAATCTTTTAATAAACCCAACCTCTCGCTTCTGATACCGGGTCGGAATAGCAGCAGCCTTTTTAAAAAGTCACAGATTCTTTAAAAACAACATTATTGATACTTTTAGAAATTGAAAATTAAACACTTAGTTAAGTCAAAGTTGGATTAGACTGCTTTAGAGTCTAAGAAAGATTTAGATTTTGATTCATGTTTTTCTTTCTTTCTTCACCAGGAAAATATTGGACCTGAGAGACAAAATTTATGAGGATATATCAGAATATATGCAACTCAAGACAACCATACAAAAACTACAAGTAAATGATGCTATGCTATTTTGGCCCTTTTTAACCACCCCCCCCCCACCCCGGGTCATTAAAAAGTTCACTCCCTGTAACTTCAAATATATTATCACAAACATCAACCCGTTTAATGGATAGGCATATCAGTTTTATCAATTTACTGCTCCAGTGTCAGAAAAATGTTCCCTAGAACATTTCCTAAAACTGTCTTCCCTGTATGTTATATTTCATTCCTTTCAACTTTGCATAACCCTTAATCCAGACCCTTGTCTTCTACTTTTTTTACATAATTTATCATGACTGTAAATTTCGCTGTAACTTCGACTCTCATTCTTCATGTCATTCTGTAACTTAATATTGATTTTAACAGATGGACCATGCAAACCTGTGTTAGTGTGTACCAGTACTCCATGGTACTGATTTGCTCAGTAATAATGGTAATCGGAGTGTGAAAATGAAAACATAAAATTTAAAAATCCAACATTCCCAAATGTAAAGAATTAAAATTTTATAAATAAATGGTGCATAAGAATGGTAAAAATGACTTTTATTCATTAGCAGTTGTTTAAATTAAATTCAGCATTCTGCATGGCATCACTTTGCCTGATCTCCCCCAACTCATACATTGCCTTAATCTCCCTCAACTCATCACATATGTGACAAACAGATGCGTGATGTCATATATGAATAGCCCATATGTACTGTCATGTAATACTGTCAATCATAAAAACTTTCATGAAACTTTTGTTTTACTTCACAGGAAGATTTAAAACCTCAGGCAGAATTGAAAACAAAAATTGATCTAGGATGTAACTTCTACGTACAAGCAAATGTGTAAGCTCAGTAATCCAGCAGTTGCCACTTGTTTAATTGAAACTCATTTTTTTAAATTTCAAGCATTAAAAAAAACTGCATATAAATGTGTGCCAGTACCGGTATGTGATTGTGATACATATATATAATCATACAGACAGACAGACAGAGAGAGAGAGAGAGAGAGAGTGTGTGAGTGATAACTAGGGATAGGTAGAGTGAGAGGCAGTGGGTGTGTATCATGGTATTTGTTACTTATAAAACTTATATTTTCCAAACAGGACAAACCCTTCCATGATCTTTGTCTCCATAGGGTTTGGATTTTTCCTTGAAATGACATTGACTGAAGCAGTATCATTTATTGAAAAGAAGACAGAGAGGCTGCAGTCTCAAGCCATAGAGCTTACACATGATGCATCTAAAGTCAAAGGACACATTAAGTTGGTTATAGAGGTTAGTGCTAAGCCCATTTAGTATTTAGGTGAAAATTTACAATAAAATCACAACATAACCCCTGGGTCTGACTATACTTAGTAACTTAAATTTTTGTCACCATTTTAGTAATTTTGCTCTTGAAAAGATGTGGTTAACCTCTTCCTTCTTAATGTTCTGCAAAGCGCCCTCCTTTTTTCCGGCCTAATACCTCAATGTCTATCATCCTTGTTTTGGGTGCCTAGAATTAGCAAATCAGGATGTTAATATTTTTGACGAACTATTGGTTTTACTCAGCCAAATAAAAGTAAAAGTGCTTGCTGGGGAATTTCTGTGTTTAACTGGGGAATGCTTTATTTCTTTTTAATTGTGCATTTGTTTGTGTCATTTCTAATAAATATGAAATTTCACCTTTTAACTCCATCTTTAATTTGGTGACTATTTGTTTTTGCATTCATTTTTTGTTTTAAAAATTTCCAGCATTTTATGTTGAAGTTAGAAAGAAAAAGACTTTATTGCCATTTATATGTATTGATTTTGCACTCCAGGATTTAAAAATTAATTAATTTTTTTTTTTTCAGGGACTCAGAGAGTTGCAAAATTTACCAAAAGAAGAAGAAACGACTTATAGAGATGTATTATCTTGATATTTGTTGTATAATAAATGATGCTTTGTTAAAAATTGTTGATAAAAATAAATTGTTGAGGAATATAAATATAATAAATTTTACTGAAATGATCAGAAAATTGTTTTTTGATTACACATAAGTGATCTCAATGAAAGGAATGTACCCTAATTTACGTTACTTTAAATAAGTACTTTAAGACGTCAGTGAATCAAATTTTTGTTTTAAATGTAAATGTTTTACCAAAGTTGAATGTTTCTATTTATTTGAATTTTAAGTAACGTCAAAATCTTCGTTTTTAATTTACCAGAGATTTTCATATTCATGGCAAATATATAATATCTATAAAACTATTTGTTTATGGATTAGCAAACAGATATTTGCAGTGATTTGCATTTACCAAGTTTTATACATATATATTTAGAAATGAGAAAATAAGACTGGCTATCAATCTGCAAAAATTATTTTATTCTGAGCATTAGATAAGTCACCCAGGACCACATGAGTAATAAAATAGACTATACCCAAGTTTAAAGTGATTCTTAATATCACACATTATTTGCTCTCTTTAGTATAATTCCAATCAAAATTTTGTACAGGTTCTGAAAATTTTTTTTAGGGCTGTTAAATTATTCCATAAAACCAATTAATATGCTACTCATGAACATATTTTTTTATGTCTGGTGAACTTGAATACAAAAAGTGGAAAAAAGAAAATCTATTTCTTGCTGGTAGTTTTTTTTACCTGGAACATTTAATATTTTAATTTGAACAAATAACTGCTTTGAATTTAGCTGAAATCATATAAGCCGCTAAAGTAAATGTTTTTCAAAAATGGAAAAGAAAGATATAAATGTAAGCTAAGTGACGATAAAAAAACTGGCACCTCTTTAACACAATTTGAAAAATATGTTGTTCAAATAGTGCTACCAGTGTAGTAGAATTATTGCCACTGTACATTGATAACTTATCTCAAAAGAAATAGAAGAACACTGCGTAAAGATTAGAATTACACGAAAGTCAATATTTTATTTTTAAAGAAAACAACATTGTTTCCTTGAGCACACAACTAGTTAGTAGTAAAATGAAATAACATTAATAACAAGCACCTCATTAAATGACATCAACTTATATAAATCATAAATCATTGATATTTTGCAGAGTCCTATGTTTTTGTGTGTAGGTGTGTTAGTTTCCTTTAATTAAAAAAAAAAAATTCAGGAATCTTGGTGGATGCGAGAGACAGCACTAACCACTGTAGCATATACCATTCATTGTTTTTCCCTTTCTTAAATGTCCTTAAGAAAAAAACACATATAGAACTTAGAAATATTCATCACAACAAATTATAAACTGTTCACAATAGTTTAGAACCAACACAGCATGTCTCAAAATAACATCTAAACACTCTTCATTCTCAATGTGCACTGGGTGGGAATAGTCCATATGTGTTCATTGAATAAGGTAGAGTATGATAGATAGGAAGTACCAATACAACTTATGAGAACCAGGTTAATGCTATATGTAATGAAACTATAAAAATTTTTAAAAAATGACCGGGGAGGGGAGACGGCGCATAAAAAAAATTATCATTCCAAAAGTGCTAATAACAATCCCTAAGACTATTCTTTTAAAATATTGTACATCCATTTTAGGAGTCCATGATGTCTTTTATGAATCGTCTTCCTTAAAAGCTAAGTTTGTTGTGTGAATCCAGTCAAGAATCTTAAGGTGTACTGTGCCAGACAAAGTTCTTGCATTCAAAGAAGCCTTTCCCTTTTTACCTATGTAACCTGTTAATGTGAAATTGAAATAGGAAATGCTACTTTTAAAAATAAGTGAAGAAATATTAAAAATTAAAAAATAATGGACTTTACACAGCTACCCTACATCCAACTAGCAATCAAGCATAAAACATTCTAGCATAAAACAGTTTTCTACCCCAACAATTCCAAAAGTTAAAATACTTTATAAAAATTTGATTGTCTTGACAGCCATTTTAAATTATGCACTAAAAACTTTAAAATCATGAACAAAACCAAAAAAAAAAAAAAAAGAGAAACAAAAATAACAAACAAAAAAAAAGAAAAAAAAAAAATAAACAAAAAACAAAGGAGAAAAAAAAATATTGAAAAACTTTAAAAATAAAAAAATTAAAATTTAAAATACTTTATAAAAATTTGAATGTCTTGACAACCATTTTAAATTATGCAAAAAAAACTTTAAAAACAAGAACAAAACCAAAAAAAAAAAAAAGAGTGAAACAAAAATAACAACCAAAAAGAGTGAAAAAAAAAATATTAACCAAAAACAGAGGAGGAAAGAATATGTTGTAAAACTTGAAAATTAAAAAAATTATCTGGGTACCTTCTTTGTGATGGGGTAACCTTGTGTCATGAAAATGAACATTCATGTTCTTATCAACCATGATAGCACAGCAATCTAAGTTCAGATCTGTACTAGAACCTTCAGGAAAGCTTACTGAAATGTCTCCTAATTGAGGGAAAGAAAACAAGTGTTCAAATTATTCTTTAACTTGAAGCATTCTCCAGTGTGGGAGTATATTTAACAAAATAAGAAACACTAACTTAATTACAGATTGTAAGTCATTTTGAAGGTGTAGTGATTTAATGCAAATGTTGAAACTTTTGAAAGACTACACTATAAGAAAACAGTTTTTTTTAAAAATATGTACCTGTTTCAACTTCAATGTTGGCATTTTGATGCTTACTGAGGTGGACAGAAACACTCCCTGATTGCAATCCAACATCAATATCTCCTTCAAGGCTCTCTGAATGTAAGCATGAAAAGTTTTTATGTTAAGAGTAAGAAGGATTCTTTTTAATGGTAAACACTAACACTATCTTTTTTTTCAATACAACTTTCAGTCCAGCTGTACAGATCTACACTCTTACACAACTTACAGACATACACTTGGTCTTCTTAAGTGTGGCTAGCATGAAACAGATGTTTATAAAATTAATACATTTCTGGTAAATGAACATTGATATTAATCACACATACTTTAAATTTAATCATAAAACTCTAGACCAGCAGTTCCCGACCTGTGGTATGCATATCCCTGGGGTTGGGCCACTTGAGGGTAAGCAACAACGAAACGGCAAAAAAGTTTTTTTTACACCTGTTCATTTAAAAGAAACTATATTTCAACATTTAGAGGCATAATAAAAAAAATAAATTATCCAAAAAAAAAAAAAAAAATTAATAATGAGAACACTATATTTGTTACGAAACGGAAAAAAAGTTTTTTTTACACCTGTTAATATAAAAGAAACTATATATCAAAATTTAGAGGCATAAAAAAAAAAATAAATTATCCAAAAAAAAAAAAAAAAAATTAATAATGAGAACACTATATTTGTTGTATACAAGTCTAATGTCAGGCTCCATGAAACAAGCTCAAGGATCACATTAAAATTATGAAGGGCCACATTAGACCTTTTGCACAAAGGCTTAGTTAAAAGTTTAAGTTGGTAACTTTACAAAAATGTATTTGGTATTTGTAAAAAAGCCAAACAATTGTAAAATACAAAATAAAAGCCACTAAACTATAAATATTAGTTTTATCTGCTTCATTTGATTATTTAGCTAATCTAATTTTTAATACTTTTTTTAGAAATGAATGAGTGTAAGTGTAAGGCAAATGGGGGTACTCTAATAAAGAAGTTCAGGGTAACAAAAAACGGTTAGGAACGGCTGCTCTAGACATAGGGTCATGAAAGGTGATCCATCAAACCTATTGCCAAATTTGAATTTCCAGCTAACAAATAAAGTTGACCATGACAATTTCCAAGATGCATGTTGCCAGCATCAGATCTAAAAGTTGCATTCTCAGCATAAAGAGATCTCACATTCATTGAACCCATTTCTGTCTCACATGTTATACTTGAACCTTGTAGTTTTTCAGTGGTAATGCTCTGAGGAAAATAGACAAACAAAAACTTTTCCCATGAACACAAAAAACAGACTGCATTATCATTAGAACGAAATGTTTCAGGTTTATTATTTTGCTTTCGTTTCTGGAGTAAAAGAAAGTTTAGCAGGTCATTTATTGGTCATTGGTGATCTTCAATTTCACTAGAATAAAGGACATTGTCATTTTTGGCATGTAGTTTAAGTTTTGTAATGTTTAAGGATATTGAGGGGTAATGATTGGAAATTATGAAATAACACAACAGTAATAGACAGTTACGTCTTGAGTAGAGAAAAAATTACTCATCATGATAAAATAAAGTAACAAGTCTCCAGTAAAAGTGTAAAAACAAAAGTATCCATTTAGTAAGTAAATTTAGTAAATATAATTTCATTGTATAATGGCTTAAAAAGGGAACTGAATTCAAAATTATTGAACAGTAATTTCAATTTTATTGAATGCAAACAAATTGCCAATCTTGGAAGCCAGAATTAATAATACCTTATTTTCAATTGAGAATATCACTAACTTTCAGTGAAATTGAATTATGTGTAAAAATGATATTCTAAAAAGCCCTGAGAATTGCAATATATATAACCAACATTTTACCCCTGATTTCCCAGTGTGGAAATATGTGTTGCCCAGCAATGTTGAGCCACATGTTATGTTTCCTGACCTGCACAGAGCACTGAGTGACCCACACTATGTTAGAAAAATACAAGAAGAATTTCAGTCAAAATGCAGTAGTAAAGTGTAATAAAAAGCGGTCAGCTTAATTATAATCTATTGTGAAATAAATTAAAGATATAGGGTGTTTAGAAAATGAATGATAAATTTAATAAACGGATTGTAGGAATGTTTGAAACTAGGATTTTAGAAATACACGTACAAGCAGCATAGCAGAGAAACAGCTTTCTTATGGACCATTTTTAGATAAAGTGGTGCCAGTTTCAGGAAATGAAAGGTGTATATTTTTTCTACTCTTACACCCTGAGCTTAAATGATATCTCTATTTTTGTTCACATTTATAAAATACCCACAGTAAATTGCTATACATCTTTAAAAACTAAATTTTTTAAAATTATTATGACCGATTGACATATAAATACCAGTTAATGGGCGATAAGCATATTGGTGCAAACTTATTCTAGGGCTACTAATTATATTTACCTTGATATTATTAAAATAACAATTTCCCTTCTCAGCTTCCACTGTAATTGTATCACTTTCCATTCGTTCAACACTCACATCTTTGTCATCAAGAATTTTTAAATGAAGACCTATAACAAATAAATGTGTACGTATAGATCATTGGATTTTAAGTAAAATTGTATGCTCCCATTATAATGCACATGCTTTTTTTAATACAATAATTTCTATTGAAAGAGCTATATTTAAAAAATTGTAATAGTAAGCGGAAATATTATAAAATAATCCCCTAAAGTAAATCAATCATTGATTTAAAAAAGCGTTGATAACAAATAATTAGAAATGAGCAAATTTTTTTTTATGATTCAAATTCAATTTAACTGAGCATGAAGTGATATAAACCTGACTCACCAAACTGATGAGGAACCTGGAGAGTGCAAACTATGGGTAATGTAATGCCTTTTGTGACGTCACAGGAGATGTTCATAATGGCCTTATCTTCTTCAAAAGCTACGTCTAGGTTATACAAGTCACTTATTTGACTCAAGTGAAGACCACTTGGAATGTCATTTTCATTTCCTGTCACGGAGTCAAAATGAAGTTGTATGATGACTTTGTTGATACTTGGTTGATCCAATGGCTTAACGATTGTCTTGAAAGGGAGAGTTGCATTCAAGGATCCATGCGGACAGACTTCATAGAACCAAGTCTCAATTAATGATGACACATCGCCAGTACAAGCTGCTTGACCATTGTTTGATATTTTATTCTTAATCGTTGATGACGTTTGGAAATAACAAGGGAATTCATAATAAACTGCTGACTGAGAATTGTAAAAATTTTTTTGAAACAAGGTTCTTTTTAATGAGCAAATTTTCTTTGAGCTCATGTGCCTCTTCAAAAATGGTGAAAACGAACAGCAGCGAATAAGAGTGCATGTTGATGAAAGAATATTTGCACAACGCATACTGAATTGTGATGCGATATAGCTCATGGTACACTTTCTGCTTTAAGCTCCCCAGTTATCGTGATTTAGTTTCGTTTGTAGGGAATTAGTCATTCAGACATCAGTTGATCAATCTATAAATAGAAAAATTAAAAAATATAGTTCTTGAAGAATTGCTACCGGTAATTACTATCACTGTGAATAAAAAATTAGCTATGAAGAAGCTGAATTTATTTCTTCATTTAAATCAGCAAATATAATGTATTTCAAAACTTATTAACAAACTAAGCACTAAAAGTAAAACTGAAAGGTAAACAAATTACTTAGCACAATTTCAAAAAATAACTGAGTGACATGACTAGGACGCAAAAAGAAGACTAATAATTATTACAAATAGACAATCTGTAATTATTCAAGTTTTAACACTGTATACAAAAATTTTTTTTTTATTGTTAATAATTCCAAATTATTTATTTCCAAGAAAAATGTCATTGATTCTAAATATTAATTTTGTGGTGCAAGTTAACTAAACCACTGACTGGTTGATGTAGCCATGGGGTTCTTAAACTGTGCGCCATGGGGCCGTGCCCTGGGGAGCAGGGGATTGCTCACAGGGACACTGCAAAATATTACACTAAAATGTTCACCAAAACATTTTATAGAAAAACTGCAGAAAGTTCAAAACTCAGCTGCTAGGTTAGTTCTAAAGGCAAAGACACAAGATCACGTCACTCCACTACTTCACTCACTTCATTGGCTCCCATACAGGCACACACTGATTACAAGCTGCCTGTTCTCTGTCACAATTTTTTCTCTGGTTCCTGCCCTTCCTATCGTACTGAACTTCTTAATGTCTCTTCACCCCTTCAAAACCTTTGTTCCTCCACAGACACGCGTATTCTTTCAAAACTGCACTCAAAACACATCTCTTTAAACTCTACTATCATGACTGATTCCCCCAATTGTCGATAAATGATGCTGCTGGCTGCTGTCCATGGCTTGATATGTAAAAGTTCTGGGGTGGGTGGTGTGAATATACATTTGTTTTTGTTTTGTTGTTATATAGCCATTTTTTAATTAAATAAATGCATGTTATTTTTTAATGTCATGCTTGTGTTTGCTAATATTTTTATGTACATCACGGCATGCTATATAAGACCACTAATAATAATAAATTTACATTTTCAATCAAATGAGACAGGATGCATCATCTAGCACAGTGGTCCCCAAACTTTTAAGCTTGGCGGACCGGTGAACAAGTTTTGAAATTTTACCAGGGACTGGTGCATTATTTATTTTTATACTTTTATTTCTATTTGACAATAAATATTTATGTTATGGGGACTGGAAGCGTTAGGCATGCGGACCGGTGAAGGTCTAGCAGACCTGGTGCAGTAACTCACTTTAGTAAATACTGTTTGCAGAAGCTCCTACAAATGGTTACTTAATGGCTTTTGATGACCTTCATAACTCATCTTCACTATTTCCAAGCCCACTTGTTAGAATTTGACAAGGGGTGTATGGTGAACCCCTGGCGTAGCTGAACAAAATAATGACATTACAAGCATGGAAACATACAAAGGCGAAAGGTGGCCTTAAAGTTGTCACTAGCCTACATATTATATATTATATTTTGTGATGTCTGGTGAGTTTAATGATTAAAACACATTTGTGAAAGCACAATGCAACAGTATGACAATAATTAGAAAAACATACACTGAATTTGAAACATTGAACATCGTCATATTTTTTTAGCATCAGCATAGTCATAGCCTTCAAAAACATTAATTAGAAATGTATTTCACTGATTTTAGGTGACATTTAGCAAATTATTAAAAGACTATCTGTAAAGTTGCAGGATAATTATCATTGCAAAAGCTCTTAAATCTTTACCCCCACCCCCTTCATTTTTATTGCCCCCTTGACTCTTGTTGCCTTACTCAACTGGGATGACAGACTGGGTAGATTTTTGGATAACAATTGAATCAAGATATAATAATGAACATTATGTTAATTGGCAATACTTGCAAATAAAAGTAAATTAAGAAATTTGTACACAACTGTCAACAAACTATATCAGTTCAAGGCACCTATGTTTCCACTAGCATCAGTATCAGTGTCACTGACACTGTCAGTTTGTCTACTTCTGTTGCTCTTCCATTAAGTTTAGAATGATGTGAAACTAAATTCATGATTGTCTCAAAATGCATCATGAATTTATATAATATAGAAGGATAATAATTAACATATATATAATATAGATTTTATTATCATAAATAATTAAAATTTAAAATGCAGCTGCCCATCATTCATGCGCCCCATGCCCCTTCATGACATGCTCATCATGCTGCCGTATAAATATTTATATAATTTATAGTTACTAATCTAGTAAATAATAGGCAAAAATGGGTATAATTAAAACCCTGACTTCAAATAAACTTGACTTGATAAAAGAAAATTAAATTATCATTCGCACATTGCAGATTAAAAAAAAAAGATCTTTTCATTATCATTCCCTTTCACCGACCTCTTTTGTACTTAAATTCTGATATCGAAAACTTTGTCAACATCCGGTTTTAAAATCAATTAAACCAGGAATTAAATTCTATTCACTAAAAATGGTTTTCAATATTTTTCTATAAAAAATAATTTAATAAAAAAAAAACCACTGGGGATGAGTGGAAGGGGTATTTTACAGAAATATTTTTCCCTTTCACCGACCTCTTTTGTACTTAAATTCTGATATCGAAAACTTTGTCAACATCAGGTTTTAAAATCAATTAAACCAGGAATTAAATTCTATTCACTAAAAATGGTTTTCAATATTTTTCTATAAAAAATAATTTAATAAAAAAAAAAACCACTGGGGATGAGTGGAAGGGGTATTTTACAGAAATATTTTACGCAGGGAAAAAGATCTCTGTTGTTCTCCAAGTTTCGGCTCCATAGAGTAGGACTGTTTTGACATATTTGTGTTGACGATTATGAATTTCGTGTGCAGAGTTACCGTATATACTCGCATATAAGCCGAATTTAGAACTATAAAATACAATACAGAAATCAGGGGGTCGGCTTATATGCGCATGAAACAAAATGGACACAAGGACAGACACTAATGCCAATTTTCCAGCCACATATTTTCATCCCTATCTGCTACGGTAAATTATAAACAGAAATGTGATAGTGTTTTGTGAGTAAATAAAACAAAACACAACTAAAGAATTTTCGTCTTTATTCTTATCAAAATGTATAATTTTTTCTAAATATATACTTCGTTAATCATTAGTTGTGAACAACTTATCATGACTTATGAGCGGAAGTTCAGATATTATTATAGCAAATAATGTGGAAAGAGCAGAACACGTTTTTGTGTCATTCTAAAAGGTGAACAAACTGGTATGTAACATGAAAGTAAGCATTTTACATCTTTACAGTAACAAATTTCTATGAACCAAAAATATGGAGTAATTATTAGACAATTTTATGCTCGGCTTATATGCGGGTTTTTGCAAAAACTGGCCATTTTACAGCAGTTTTTGGGGGTCGGCTTATATGCGATATAGGCTTATATGCGAGTATATACGGTAACTCCCTTGACTCCCGTATTTTAAAAGCGCACATGCTGGCCTAGCCTTTCCAATTCTAGCCCTGACATCCACTTCGGACCCACCATGTATGTCAATTTATGCATTTGTCGCTGGTTGTGGGACAGAAGTGCAATGTCATATGAAAAGTCTAGGTCATTCAGTTGTTCCTAGGGTGTCTATTGTATCCCATTCCTCACTTTTTGTCTGTGGATTTTTTCATTATCCAGTCAATGGCAAGAATGAATAGGAAGGGGGCAAGAGACATCCTTGCCTGACTCCTGTTTGTTTCCACTTTAAAGGCATCGCGAATCTGTATGTCATTTCTTCATAAGAACTCTGAATGATCCTGACTAGTTTTCCTGGTACTCCATAGTGTCGTAGAAGTTTCCACACGGATCTTTCATTCTATTCCGAATAATTCAGTACAGACAACAGTGTCATTACTATGTAGTTTGCTGAGATCCCCTTACTTTGGTATCTTGATGAGGTATTCTTCTTTCCAATCTTTTTGGAACCCTCTCTTCTCCGATATCTTTTCCAACAGAGGGTGCAGCATGTTAACAGTTGTATCTTTATCTTCTCTCATCATCTCTGTTGTGATGTTGTCCGGTCCCGATGCTTTCCCTATTTTGAGCTGCTTGATGCCAGAGCTATTTCTTCCTTATTTGGGGCCCTTTATTCTATTTGTAAGTCTTCATTTGCTGGTGTGTCTTTGGGTGAGGTGTGTTCAGTTATTGATCTAAATTTCTTATCTTAAAAAGGTCTCTCTGGCTTCTTGTATCTTCCTGAGAGTTTTCTTTTTATGTCATAGAGGTCTTTCAAGTTTCTCTTTCTGTTTGCCTCTTCTGATGTTGACACTAGACCATCTATACAAGCATTTTTATACTTTTTGGTGCTGTTTTTACCCCTTTAAAATTTCTCTTGTGCTTTCGTTTTCTCCGCCCTGGTGCGGCTGCTGCTAAATACACTCTTCATTTCTTTCCTCTCGTATAATTTTTTTTTGCAGCATGTTAAGTGAAAGCCATTCTTTGTATTTGTGCTTCACCGGTCCTAAAACCTCGTTGCACGTGGATGTTAAAGATATCTTTAAGTTTTGCCATTTCTGGTCATCATCTGTTTGGTCTTGCAGTACCTGGAACTTATTTCTCAAGGTAACACTGAATTCCACTCGTTTCTGCTCGTTTGTCAGAAGTGCTGTGTTGAATTTTAGTGAACTCGCAACTATCAGGTCAAATCTATTTTTTTTCTAAATGTGCTGTACTGGGTAAAAAACAACAACAAAAAAAAAAAAAAAAAAAAAAAAAAAAAAAAAAAAAAAAAAAAAAAAAAAAAAATAAAAAAAAAAAATAAAATAAAAACTAAGACTGGTCCCTTTAACCTTTGCACAGGGCATCATTCCAGTCCCTATTTTTAAAAATAGTGCAGAGTCGTGTTGGTCTTTAAGCTCACCAAAGTCATTATATATTATTAGAAAAACCGCCCCAATATGGCTTTGATTGATTGATTGATTACTTTTATAGCACTTGTGTCCATGCTATTTTAGCATGCTCAGAGCGCTCTAATTTCCTAAAATCTGTTTAAAGAAAAAAGTCTTGAAGTGGTTCTTGAGTGGCCTTTTATCATTTTCGATGTCCCTCAAACCGTTCCACAATTTAGGCGCAATAGCTTCAAAAGAGCGCACTCTGTATGACTTCTTTCTATCCCCATCCACACTGGGAACTCTTAGTAAGGACTGTGTTGAAGAGCGCAGGTACTGTATGGATACATGTTTAGAAATCAATTTTTGAAGATACATAGCGTATAAAGAGCTTTGCTCTGCTTGCACAAGCACCCATAATGAATTTAATCAAAGCCGCCATCAACAGAACATACATAAACCATATTGATCGAGTGTTCCACATAGGACCGTACGAAGGGGGCATATGTCCCAGAGACGTCAATATCGTCTTTAGATCGGAAGTTTATTGTGAATAAGACGTTAAATGCCACGTAGGCCTATTTAAAAAAGGCAAGGGTTGCCAAAATCGTCTTTGTATTGGTCCGCCCCGGGCGGCACTTTTTCTCTATATTGGTGGGCGCCATTTTCAGGCTTTGTCCCTGGGGCGTCACTTTCCCTTGACATGACCCTGGTTCTACACAAGGAATGTAGTGTGACAGGTGATTCATTCTGGTCGTATTATCTAGATTAGTGATAGAGGGAACTTGTTGCATCCTGACATGCGTCTTCTGTATAGGCCATATGGGCTAATAATCAAAAGACTATAATAAAAGACTCATGATATTTATGTCAATGCCATACTTGTTTCAGAAGGTCAAAACAGTGACGTCAAGCTCTTTTCCAATGTTGGTTTGCATGCATGTGGATAAATGTGACCAAACATTCTGCCACATTACCGACCGATTTCCCAGCTACAGTCGGTTGGTCGATGTAATATATATATATATATATGTTTGCCGTTCAATAAACGTTGTTAGAGAAATTTACTAGCTTCATTATATCCTTTAGAGTAGCTTTCACCATTTCCGTTGTCTTCACCGCCACCCAGTTCCCCATTAATTCATATTAGACCCTTACAATTCAAATTATCCCAACGATCGATTTAGACAAAGGGAGGGGAGACGTAAACAAAAGCTCCACAGTTTTAAAATAAATCTGAAAAAGAAATTACAAATTGTGCCTTGCAAACATCGTAGTTGTTTTGTTGTCTCTTTTCCAGCTAATACAACAATTTAAAAAAACTTTATCAATTGAATTATGCTCTCTGTTGTTCACCTTTGATGTGTAAGACTTCACACAAAAAAACGTGCAAGCAAGCATGGGCGCCCGCAGGTAGGGGCAAGGTGGGGCACTCGCCCCCCCCCCCTGGATTGATTGGACTAAAAATTTTTAGACAAAAATTTTATTAAAGTAAAGAGAAAATAAAGAGAAAGTAACTAAGCTGATGTCCTGTCCGTTCGTTCACCATACAAATACGCTACAGTAAATTAAAACTACATTAAAACATTGCTAACAAAATTTTGCCCCCCTCCCCCTGTAAAGTTAATCGATTTTTTGCCCCCCCCCCC